CAGAGTTAAACTTTGAAGTAAATAGCCATTGGTTACTTATTATTGAATTTATTTTCATGATGCAAAATATTTAAGAAGGGATGGGCGAACTGGCTCAGGATGTGAAGACACCTGACACCTAGCCTGGTGACCTGTGTTTGATCCCTAAGACCTACATGGTAGAAGGAGAGAACCAACTTCTGCAAGTTGTCCTCTGACCTGCACATGTGTGCTATGCCAGACAACCCCTAATAAATAAACAAATGTAATTTAGCAATATTTAAAAAGCTTATCAATGTTTAGAGGTAAGTCTCCTGGTTATTTTTTCACCCCCTCCAGGAGCCACTTCTGCCTTCTCTTTTGGCCCCTACACCTTTGGCATATACACAAGCCAGCACAGCTATGCCTAATTTTTGGTTTATTCAAATGACACAGTATATTCACATTCTGCTTCTCTTTTATAAATTAATGCATTTTGTAAGTCTTTGTGTGTGTGTGTGTGTGTAATTGAGTGTTCTTTTTTCTTGATTTTATCCAGATTTTGTTATCTGGTAGACTGTAATTTGGCCAGTGACATTGAACCTGCTTTTGTTTTTCACAGCGTTTGGGTGTGGAGCCCAGGCCTAGTTCATGTGAGCAGGCCCTCTGCCACACCTTAAGCCCAACACTGAACTTTTTAATCCAGTGTCTTGACTTCAGATTCTTGCAGAACTTACTGGATGTACTTTTCTAGAAAGCTCTCCTGGGTTTCCATTCATTGTCTGTTTGGAGTCTGCAGTGAAGAGCCAGAGCAGAATCTCGGGTGAACCCTCCTGTGCCACTGACACCCGATGAAGAGAGGTGGCTTCTGGCCAGGGTGGAGTGGAGCGCGCTTGGAGTGTGAGCCTGTGCTTCGGGCTGGGGAGGGTCACGGTGTAAGCAGGACCCTGAGGAGCAGGGGGAGGTGACGAGACTCCTGTAGACATGTAGGCTGGGGCAAGCTCAGCTAAAGACAGGTGACAGGACACCTAAAGTGACAGGAATGCTGTGTGTGCACACCACAGGAGAAGCCCCCTGGGGAAGGGGCATGCAGGGGCCCGAGGAGGGAATGTGGTAATGGCTGTAAACTGGAATAGCCTCTGTCTTCCTGTCCCCCTCCTGGCCAGGCCATCTGTGTGACCTCATTTCCAAAAAGGAAGAGGGATGTCATGTGACAAGGGCCTGCTGGTCCTTTGCTGCTGTGGCAAACCTCTGCCCAAGACAGCAGCCGGCGGCCCTGCTTTGTCTTCCTTCCTTCCGTAGGGAGAGGAACTGTCTGTCCCTTTACATGCTTGGAGCTGGCAGCTTTGGAAGGTGGATGAGTGATAATTGCTCACTTCAGAGCCAGGCTGTGCAGGGTGGTTCTGAGTCCAACAAGAAGACAGACTTGTGCTTCTGGACTGTCTCCGGAAGCCTTAGTGGCCGTGGCCTCAGTACCTGATAGTCCAACTCTGCTGGGTGCCTTAGAGCAGTGGGCAGTAGGCGCGGCCACTGTAGCTAGATCTGTAGTGCTCGGCTGCTCTGCAGTGTTTGCTTAGTGTGATGCATGCTTGTCCCCTGTCCTGGACCCTCTATACAGTGGCTCATCAGTCCCAGGCCTGCGGCCCCTACATCAGCTAGAGAAATCTGATTCCATGTCTCCACAGCTGTGAGTGCCTATCATCCTTTCAGCGTTTAGCAGAAGTTTTTACTGTCTAATGTGTTCTGTTCTGGGCTTGGAATACTTTTTGCAAGAACAATAAACCCATCTAGGTGGGGGTGGGGGAAGGCTGTGTTCCCTCCTTCCCCTTCCTTTTCGATTGGGCCCTGGCTGAAGCCCAGTCCCCGCAGTTTTGGACCATGGTCTCAGCCCTGTGGCTTCCTATTCTCTAGAAAGAATGGCACCTTGGAAGAGAGCTCATGGCCTGGCGTTTGCTAATTGGGTCTGTGGCTGCTGCCACTTCATTCACTCTCGACACTGGTGTCCTCGGGATTGGGTGTCTTTCAGACACTATGAAACCAGCACTTACGCCTTCAGTGAGAGCCATGGCACCTGCTATTAGAACTCAAAATAGCTGTGGTTGGGACTGGAACTGTCTTTGCCTCAGAAATAAACTAGCGGGCGCAGGCCCACAGCATTCTGTGCCTGCAGCTGAGTTTGTGTCACTATTCAGCTGTTCATGGAACAAAGAGACCTCTCCCTGAGAGCCCCCGTCAGACCATGAAAGGCCGTGCAGCTGAAGCCACGGTGGCTCAGCAGCAGATGCCACAGCTTGGACTGCAGTTGGAACTGTCACTCCCTTGTCATCCCATGTGTTGGAGGCCCCAGAGACCCCGAGTGCCTTCCACTTTGTAGTTTCGAAGTGTGAGTGTCACGCTTGCTGGACCGGACTGGCGGTGGTTTTTTTAGGCCGCAGTGGCACTCTGTGCACGCCTTGTAGTTGAAAGCATTTTGCTAATCCCTCGAGTGCTGCATCTCTGAGCCGCTTTACTGCACAGGGCAGGAGGCTTCTGAAGCAGACACTTGGCCAGCACCCGGCAGTCCATGGGCCGTGGATAAGGTAAACACTGCGTCTATGGATGAGCCCTCTCTGATTCCACAGTCCTGGAAGCCTCCCCATGCCTGCAAGGCTCAGCATAGTAGCGAGTAGCAGAGGCTGATCGCAACCCTCACTTCCTGTGGGCCAAGCAGTCTGCTGGTCTCTGTGCCCCCATTCCCCGTGTACAGCGGTTAACAGTGTATGCCAGCACCACCTCAGCTTCCCAGGGCTTCTTAAGGATTGTTCCTCACCCCACTCTCTCCTGTGCCCTTCAGCCTGGTGCTAGGGCTTGTGCCAGGCTGACAGCACACAGCTAGTGTCCTCTTCTCTGAGCTGGGTGCTTCTGACGCCTTTCTCCCTTGTTGCCCTTCCTTGTTTTCTTAATGGGTTTTTTTTGGAGGGGAGGGTGATTTATTCATACTTACATATGTAGATGTGCTGAAAATTCTCTTCAAAATTCACACAGTGCACAGAAGAGAACTGTGATTATCCCCACCAGTTTGGACAAACACAATTTCACTGATTCACATTTCCCACCATGGCGCAGTCTGTGAATAAAGGAACATACATGTTATTTACTCTTCTGTATGTAGCTCAGAGTCAGTGTGTACCTGGCTCTTTCTTGGGCATCCTTTGCCTGGCACACTTGTTTGATCCTCTGCCAAGAATAGCTTTATAGCCTACTTGGGTTGCCAGATGATCCATTGGCGAGGCTTTGGGGACCAGAACTGACTTTTTATCTGTCTACAAGTGGATGGTCCAGTGCTGGTGAATGTCCATCATCCGCCTCTCAAATGGCTGTTTTTATGATCTCATGTTGCAGAGAGGGAAAGAAGAGAGGTTCTCAATATATTTGTTTTGGTGCTGGTGTTAGAACGTATGCCTACTAGGCAAGTACTCTACCACTGAGCTGTCTTTCCAGCTCTGTACACAGGGCTATAGTAAGGTCAGAGGTCAGTCCATTGCACAGTGAACAGTTGGATGGGTAGCTCATTTGCAACCAGGACTAACCAGTGTCTTGCTCATGACAATTCTAGGTCTTTGAGTTAGTGGCCTTTTCCTGGCCCAGTGTCCTTTTCTTGTAGACTCTGCCAGGCTGACCTAAAGCCTGAGAGTGTGGTGTGAGTAGATGGGTGTGTGGGGCATCTCTGGGTGCTTTCTGTGTTGTGCAGCCTGGCTCAAACCTTTCATCAGCACAGCACACACAGCCTGTCTTTTTGGGCGAAGCCGCAGGAGTTTCTAAAAGAGTGGATAGGGACTTCAGCGTGCCTTGTACTCACGTGGCCATAGCTGATGAGGAAAGCAGACACAGTTTCACTACCTGCCCTCATGTGTATCTGGGCATGTTCATGCTGTTCTTGAAAACACCATGAAATTCAGAGTATGCATCCTGCTGTGCGCCAGTCAGATGACCAGGCACACCTCATGTCTACTTGCACTCATGGGGGCAGTGGACACTGTGCACCCAGGCAGTATCTGGCTGTCAGCTTTCTCACTGAAAGATGAACCAATAGCGACCAAGTGTGTTACCGTAGACTGAGGCAATGGGTAGAGGAGGGCTGGGAAGCACACATGTGCATAGCATGGAAGCATACATGTGCATGGCAACGCATGGCTGCTCTTGTCTTTGGCTGCCTCATCTGTTTTGCAGAAGCAGCTGACCATGTGAGGTCATCTGAGCCTGCCTTTGTGCCACGCCATGGGTGGTGCTCTTTGCATCTTATTTCCTAGGCACATGGTACTGTTATGTGGTCTTCCTATTTTTTATAGCTAGAATAAAGTTAAGGCTGTGTGTGCATGCCTGGGTGCATACACATTTAGATGCCAGAGGTCAAGCTTGGGTGTTGTTCCTTGATGTCATCCAACATGGTTTTTAGGTGAGAGGCTCTCATTGGTCAGAGACTCACCAAGCAGGTCAGGCTGGCCAGTGAGCCCTGGCATAGACCTGTGCCAGTCTCAGCACAGAGCAGGTGCCATCACGTCTGGCTTTGTATGTTCTTAATATTTTTAAATTTCATTTTGTTCAATTAGTTAATTAGTTGTATGTGCGTGTGCATGTGAGGCTCAGAGGACAACTTGAAGGAACTGGTTCTCTCCTTTCATATGGAGCCTAGGGATTGAACTTTGGTCCTCAAGCTTGGTGCCAAGTGCCTTTTTACCCACTGAGTCATTTTGCTAGCCCAGCACACACCCAGCTTTTTTTTTTCTTTCTTCTAAACATGGCTTCTGGGAACTGAATTTGGGTCTTCAACTTGAGTGACCTCCATTTAGGAGTCAGGAAAGGTATATTTTGAAAGTAGCCTACCCGCTGAGGTGTTTGGACCTGGGTGCTCTGAGTACTTGCTACTCTGTACATGCAGAATGAACTCACGCAGACCTCTGAACCGACAGTGGATGGTGCGGCTTTGGGTTTCTGTTTTGTGTGCACAATGTGGTCCATTTCTGGGGAGAGAAGGAACTAAATGTGTCTTCTTTATCCATCAGGACTCCTGAAGACCTTTCTAGGTTCGTGGTTGAGCTGCAGCAGCGAGAGCTTGCACTGAAGGAGAAGAATAACAGCATCACCAGCAGGTAGATGGCCTGGGGGTGTCTGACAGTGTGTTTGCTCCAGGCGGTTTGAGTCCTGTGTGCCTTCCTTCTTGTTTACTTGGTGTGTCTGTCTATTTTCCATTACTGTTACGTAGTACCTGGGGCTGGATACTTTTCAAGAACTTTTTTTAAGGGTATAATGGTGGCCTTATTAGGTTATAGCTCTGCTAAAGACAGCAGGTGATAGGTCTGTGGGTAGTACAGGCTTGCTTGCATATAGGAGAAGGCTACAGGGGAAGGGCTGGATTTTTGTCTTAACAGCTCTTTCTTGAGTGCTAGCCAAGGGTTTCTGAGAGCTGTCTCAGTCCCTTTGAAGGTCAGTGCTCTTGGTGACCTGAAGGCCTCTCACTCCACCCACCTCTATATATGAGTGCTTCTGGCACACTCATTTATAAACTGCGTGCATGCAAGTTACAGTGTGGGCCGTGGCTGTGCCTCACCGCTCCATGGTCTGAGACCTGGGAGCAGTTGTTAACTTACATGCCACATAGCAGTGAGACTCTGGAGCCACTCTGCACATTCTAATTAAATGTTGTTCACCACTGGGCCCCCGCCTAGATCAGGGACCTTGCAACTTGCAGGCAGTGTGTGGACTCCAGATAGCCCCTGGATGCATGCATGTGTGATGTGTGCAGCCTTGTGTGCCTACAGATGTGAAGACTCTATTGGCCTACGCTCTTGATCACAAGTGACAAAGTCTCCCCCTGAGGTGAGCAGCAGTGTATTTGTTTCCTGGTTCAGTAGGAAGTCCAGGGGCAGCTCTTAGACCCAGCGGCCTGCCTTGCCCCGTCCTCCCAACACCACACACCTCCTGCATTTTCTAGAACCACTTTCCCAAGCCCCACACCAGCTGTGTGCCTTATGCTTCTGCCCTGACACTAGGGTCTGCTCAGTCAATCGCAAGTGTCAGGACCCCAGGTCACCCATACTCCCATCCCAGCACCCTTCCTCAGCCTCAGGGATTTTCAGAAATCAGGAGAGTGTCTCCCTTGAGATTCTTGGTTTCTTCTGAAGAATCTAGCCCAGCAGCAACCGAATGTCGGTGCTCAGGGCAGGGCATGTTTCAGGCAGGGCCATCACTCTCTTCAGTTACACCCCCACCCCCACCACCTTGACGCATTCACCAATCTCAAAGTATTAAAGTCCTACTGTGAAGGTTTCACAGCCCAGCTCCCAAGTCAGTGGATGGGGTCAGGAGCTTCTCCTCTCTGCTTTCTAGTCTTTTTGTGACCAAGTCCAACCTGAGCATTGTGGGGCTTGTACTAGCTTATCTCATTAGCCTGTTGCGAATATCAGCAGACAGGACTGTCACCCAGTAGAGCCCAAGACTTTTAGGGCTCTGCCAGGAACCAGAGACCAAAGCCACACATGAGTGGTCTTCTCTCACACTGACCTGGGCTCTTGTCTGTTTGCCCTCTGGCTGGCCATTTGGACAACTTGGTGATTTTGAAGTGCCTTCCCAGGTCAAGCCTTATATCCAAAGACAAAAAGGAGAAGTTTTCTTTGAGTCTTTATGGAATAAGAAAAGCTTTTCTGTGGCTACCATCCACCTGATCCCCTTCACTGACCAAAACTGGGCTGTGTGCCTATCCAGATCCTGCACTGACAGAAGATGGAGTTGCTATGGTTTGCCCAAGGTCATCCCATGTGCATGTGACCTACCTGAACCAAGTGGGAATGGCTTCTGCAGAGCCAGAGGGAAGGTGCGTGCAGCCACCGGGGTAAGAGCACCTAGCACCAAGGACTGACCTTTGCATGGACAGGTCCAGGAGGAGCATGGAGCCAGCCTGTTGTCGTGGATGATCCAGCTGTAGCGTTGTCATCTTAGAGAGACAGCGGGCTCATCATTCATTACTAGCCAGAAGGAAGGGTTCTCATTGGAGTGCTGATGTCACTCTGAAAATTGGCTTCTAGAAACATCTGGTTATGTTGGACATAATCACATCCATTTACTTGAGAAAGCTCACATGATAAAGATTGCCTTTTGCTTTCAAAGCCACTGTCAGATGAAACGGGCATGAAAAGTGATTTGGAATTCAAGCTTGAACGCTTGCCTGGTGAGCCTCTTCATTTTCCTCTGACTATGAAATGGATTGAGCTACTAAAGGCAAGGAAACCTGTCTGCGTTTCCCTTGCACCCAGTAGTTAGCTGCTGTGACCAGGCATGCTAGGGCCCGTGTCTGCCCAAGAGCCATGAGAAAGGGGCCACTGGCACACTTCCCAACATCCCTGGCTTGTGTTTGCCAGTTTGGGTTGAGTCAGCCTGTGGTTTGGTTTATGTAGGTTTGAGACTGGAGTCTTGGAGTAGCCTGAGCCAGGGCCAGGCAGTACTGGGGACGGAGGAAGGTCTCCTGAGTTAGTACAGCTGTAACCTCAGGACATCCCATGAATGTGCCTGGTGTTTTGCTTTCTTCTGTAGAATGCTGTGGTTCCTAGTTAGCAGATCTCAGACAGGAGAGGCCTGGTCTACAGTACTGTCTCTGCTCCTTGGGAATGTTTTTACAAGATGGGCTGTCTTTGAGTTTCTGTGTGCTGGCCTTCTGTGCCTGGGTTCACGTGGGACCTGTGACGCCTTGTTCTGTGTGGCTTCTGTAGCCTGGAAACAGGCTTCTCATGGAGCTGGCTAAGCAGTGCCTTCCTTGTGAGTCTCGCAGAGCTAGGCTGTTGGGCTGAGCAGTGGAGAGGCAACAGGTGTGGGGGTCTAGGGCTGGGTTCCCAGGGCTCCTCACTGGTGAGTTGGTGGCAGAGGCTCTCTTAGTAAGGTGGGAACCGGCAGTTACTGTGACATCTACGAAGCCTGAGCCTTGAAACTGAGATGGGCTAGATTAAGGTAGTTGCTACTTTGCTGGGGTGGAGAGTCACTCAGGAGATGAGCTGAGACCCTGTCTCTCCAGCCTGTTGTGTGCTAGGTCATGGTCGTGCCTTTCCCTTTAGTGTAGTTTCCAGATGCAATCTAACCTCAGGTTGAGAAGGTGGCTAGGGTGCCACTGGATGGATGGCGGGGTGGATGATCCCTGAACTTACAGGGCAGGCTTCCACCATTTTGTTTCTGGGACAAGGAGATCCTGAAAGGCCAAGTGTTTTTCCTTGGCCTTTTACAGAAGGGTAAGCAGATTCTAATGAAATGGGAAGGAGAGAGCTATGGAGGGCCCACAGGGTGGGCCAGGCTTTCCACAGAGCCAGCAAGGCACCTGGTGTTTGTTTTCTGGTTTTGTTTTGTTTTTTGATGTGTGATGTGTAGTTGGGGAGGAGCAGACCATCAGACCCACCCCAGGTCATGGTGTCGCATGCTGTGGTTCTGGTCACATTTCACAGTTATACAGGCCAGCGGCCTGCACTCCCATCATGCTGTGTCCTTGTCCACTGCTCCAGCCCAGCTGTGGATCATGTCTGAATCTTGTAAACAAATGTTTGCTGCTTTTGTGGCTTTTAAACATGTTTCTTATTATACCTCTACACTGCCCACCCCTGTTTTGCTGTTTGGAAAAGTATGCCCACTGGCTGTTAGAAGACAGATTTTGTGCCCCCTGCCCCTCCTGCCCCCGTATTTCTGCTGTGAAGAGCATGGCAGTGCCACTGCTCATGAGGACACTCAAGTGTGCAGCACCTCCCCAGCCTGGTGCATGAGTCAGCTGTGTCTTCCAGCACTAGCTGTGTTAGTAATGTGTTAGTAAGCTGGTGTCAGGGACCATGCTAGGAAACCAGAGCGTTTCCATAGGTCTGCCTCCTTGGAGCACCAAGGAGCTGCTAGTGTCAGGCCTTTGCCTGTTGCTGTAGTTACCTCAGTAGGACCTGGCATATGTGGGACAGAACCATGCCTCTGGGAAGGCTGCTAGGCAGGGCTCTGACCTGATACCTGTGTGGATGAGGTGCAGGGCCATCATGTGCCTCGTTGAAGGAGGCTGTGTCAGACATCTGGGTCTAGGATGGTCAGATGATGTCACACCCTAGAGTTTCCAACCAGCCAGGAGCAGGGGAAGCACTTTCTACCATTGAGATGAGACCACCTTGATCCCTAGCTGGTCAGGCATGGTTCTGAACTCGTTAGACTAAAACATTCTTTTGTTTTTTTGAGATATTGTCTCTATATTTCCTAGGCTGATCTGTAACTCTCTGGAGTTCCCTTTGTAGCTTATGCTGGCCTTGGACTGACTGTCTCTCTCTCTCTCTCTCTCTCTCTCTCTCTCTCTCTCTCTCTCTCTCTCTCTCTCTCTCTCTCTCTCTCTCTGTGTGTGTGTGTGTGTGTGGTGTGTTATCCCATACAGCTGTATTTGTTCTTTTGTTTGTTTTCCTCTTTTCTCTGACTGTTTAGGTAAAAGCTCAGAGATGGGAGTGGCACTTCCGTCTGATAGGGGGCTGGTGTTTTCGAGTAGCAGGAGATGGGGTGGAGGATGGTAGTGGGGCGTACGGGTTGGGGAGGATGTCACAGGAGATAGACGGATGGAGGAGCGATGGATGGGTGGGCGATGTGTCCTGTTCAGTAGGTGGGGAGGACCTGGGAGCCTTGGCTCAGGTGAATGTTGTCTGTGGAAGTAGAGAGCGTGTCTCTGTAGGGCCGTGTTGGGCACTGCAGTCCTGGTGTTGGGCAGCTCTCTGGTGAAGATAGGAGGGGAAGGTTCCTTTGCAACATGTGTGCAGTTGGAGTTGGGCAGATTCCTGCTTTCTGGGTGGCTTTCCTAGTGGGCAGCAATAGGGAATCTTCAAAGAAGGCACTGGTGTATCCGTTCCCACGGCTGGCTGCCGTGAGCCCTCGGGCTGCGCCTGCTCTCCTCCTCAGCCATCCCACACAGCGCACAGGCACCGTCGATCATGGATATGGATGGGGCTGTCAGGGCCTGCCTGTGCATCCTCGGTACCTTCGGACAGGATCTGATTACAGAGTCGGGAACCTTGCCCTCTTCACTGTGCCAGCCTTGCTTGTTGTCCTGTCGGGCTAATAATGCCTCTCTCGGTTTTGTGGCTAAGGGGCTGGCAGGTTGCCT